AGGTCTAGAATAATATTTGATATGATGGCTAAAACCTAAAAGATCTCTTCTAAAGATAAATTAATATTCTGTATATATACTATGCTGTCTGTGTATACAGAATGGAAATCAATAACCAGACCCTTCGGTAACTGAAGCGCTCCAATTTATTTCCGTTCCTTTTTTTTTGAGTATCCGTACATTATATAATCTAGTAATTACAAAAAGACATCAAAATGTGGAGCTTATCAGTGCATAACCGAGCCAGAGCAGATGAATCTAGCGCAAGCAGTATATGTGTGCGTGCGTGTGTATATGTATCAGTAATAGTTACTACGTATGTACGTGTGAGGAAGTATCTGGAAGGTATTTAGGAATTTAACAAAATGTTATAATCAAACACTACTAATTCGTCATAATAAAGTACGTGGTAAGCTACGCTGCAGCTTTATAGTTGTAGAACGAATAGGTCGGATTGGCTGGGGTAGGACCACATTCTTACAGAATACCAGCGTAAAATACGAGGGAGACATTGAAAGTTTTTAGAACGGACCCCTTGTAAACGATATAATAAAAAAATAAGTTAAAATTCTGAAAATGGAACTCTGCCAATATTATTGTGTATGTATTTTATTAATTTGTCATTTGTTTACGATTTGGCAGCAAATTGAAAATGGTCTGTGTCAAGTCAGCATGAATTTAACGCGAGAAAATTTTCATTAATTATTGATGTTAATGGACACTATTTTGAAAAGATATAATAAAACTTATAACTTGCTAGTTCGTCCAATTTTTTGATTTTCTTAGAACTTTCAGTGTCACCCTCGTAACATCCTAATGCTGCTGTGTTTCGTATAGTGAGTGTAGAGAACCGGAGACCCTTTTTACTGAAAACGAGGCATTCCACCTTAGTCCTTAGGCGTGACAACGTATCTGCATTTGAATTCTTAATAGAGAATGAGTGTAGATGTCTATGGCTACATCATCCAATTACCATCAGGTGGCTGTGTGCATGTTTGTCACACTTATTCTATAAAAAAAAGATGTTAATGCAGGGCGGAAATTTAATGATACATTGTAAAAGAAAACTGCTGTGCTATTTTTATTCAGTCATGTAAACACCCACCCACCGTTACACTACACCTTTATTTGCTGAAAACCCACTTATGAGATGAACCTTATACCGTATTTAACAACATTATAATATATAACATACATAGAGCATTTGTTGTTGCACTTTTACAGGAATCTCTATTACAAGCAATTAAATCTAAGCGAAGTAATTTTATTCATTCCTTTTTTTTTCTTATTTTGTTTCATTCTTTAATAAGTATGTATTTATATGATTAGCTTCGTGTGCGAGATACATTTTTGGATCGACACATTGTGGGGAGAAGTAGCAACTGTGCCTAGTAACATACCAGCCTAAGACGTTCGTTCATTATGCGACGCGGCGTTGTGTATACTGTATAGCTGTCTGCGCGCAGGAAGCCATCTTTCATTGCCTTTTTTTATGGCCTGTCCCTTAGTCCCATTGCATGGCACAAGCAATACAGTCTGTGATCGTCTGATATAATTTTTACCCTTTATAACTAGCTATGTTATCGTTTAGTATAACCCAGGGAAGGTCGAATTATTCAACTGAAAAAGTATCTCACTGTCCTCGCTTAAATACAACAGGTGGCTTCCGTGCTCACATTTTTTTGCAGACGAATTGTTTTTGGTACTGGATTAGATGTCGTCGATTCCCTGAAATATTTCTCATTCATTTTAATATCAGATTTCATTGCTACTGTTTACTTTAATTAACTACTAACAGGAAACACTTAATGAAACACATGGGTCAATAGAATTACTTATATGTACATGACATATCTCCGGTACCAATATTACAGCTAGATATTCGAACCTACACGACACAACAACCTTTTGATTGTACAATAAAGTTGGATTATGTTTCGCATTTTTGTATAAAAAACTGCGACTGCTAAACAAGCGTTCATCAAGCTCTTGTTCTATCTTCGCAATTTTCATAATATTAAAGTGAGAGATGCGTTATCAGTCCGTTATTTTTTTTAAACATTGGTATGCAAACGTAGCCAACAGTGCACCTGATAGTAAATGACTAGAGCAGCTCAGAGACTTCTGCAGCTAAACCCGAATAAAGATGCTAAGAAATGGGCTGCCACTCTCGACAAGTAAAATGGAATGACTGTTTTACTTATAGACATAGATCATAACGCGGGTAATATAGTGCGTCAATTTTTTTGCAATTTGTTAAATATATTTATTAATGTGGATTTCTTTAAATTTTGTTATTGTTGATTGTATCAAACAAAGAGCATTTTTTCGTTTTGAAATAAAAAAAATATAATTATTAAAATACTTTTACTACACCTTATATTGCTGGTTAATAACTGAATAATTATCAGATAATTATCAATGAACATTGTTTTGATTTTTTCTTTGCAACCCTGCCATCAGGTAGACTGTTGGTTCGTTTTCAAATCCGGTGTTGTTGAAAAATGTAATGTAAAAAATAACTAATAGTCGTTATTGTATTTGCTTTAATGTTAATTTTCTTAATAAATAATCACTTAATACCCCTGTTTTTCCAGCTATTTTAACGTCATTCAATATTATAAATGTATTTTTATTAAATTATCTTCTTCAATTAGTTCATTATTTAACTATTCATAGAATCAATTAGTTAAGTTCGGCATTGAGTCACCAATAGCGCAGCGTACGATTCGACTAGCGCCGGATGCATTGAGTAGTATGTAAAGACGTACATACGTATATTTGTAGTATGTATAATAAACGTGAATCAAAAATTAATCATTATTTAATTTGGGAATAAATCAAGTTGGTTCGCTCCTGCAATGCTTTAGGTATTTCGTTTTATATTCATATCTCGGTAAATGTTTCGCGAAATATGTATTACGTAAAATGCAATAGAGAGCGAATGTACTGGTGAAGTATTAGTTATTTATTATGAATATTGATAGCGCTGGCCCTGTGACATATCTATCTACAGTGAGAGTCAATGGCCGCGGTGGAGGTGGAGACTATCCGACGCATGATTATGATTATGGGTTGCGTCAAAATTACGTATCATGCTGACCGGAAGCGGTGGTTGATATAATTTAGTGAGTCTATGTTTTACTATCTTGATTTTTCATGTTTATTAAATATAATGGCAATGAATTTGATCTATATATAATTTACGCGGTATACCTAGGTATAACTTATTTTTTTGGAATCGATTAATTCCGACATCATAAATTGACGTTTAATTATTACATCGAGCAAGAACGAAGCAGCACATTTCGTCAAGGGGGTTAATATAATGAAAATAAATATTGCCAATACGCCATACAATTAAATTTGAACTAAAACACACAAGAATACAATTTAATTTGTGCTGAAACACACAAGAAAGTATTTATGAAGATTACTAGTCAAATTTGCGAGTGTGCCGGTGACGCAAATAGACTGATCTCTATTCATATCGGCTATGCTTAGCCGTCTCGTTCAATAACACTAAGCGCGAGCGAGATGGACCGAATTGTCGACGAACATATTTGGGCCAAATAATTTTTGATCTGCCTATCGAGTGTTTATACTATGTAAACTTCTTCAGCATGGTGAGCCGTCACTCGCTGGTCATTCACACAAACCAACTGACTGACATTTCACAAGTTCTTTGCATAGTCCTATATCAACACCATAGATATACAAAAGTATAAAGGAAGTTAATGTCATTGTTTTCCATAACATCCTGTTGTACATATTATACTATGATTGATTGAAATTGAACTTTACTCGTTTTTCTGTACAATTTGGTGTACAATAAAGAATAAATAATTATATTAAGATGAAAGTGTTTTAATAACATAATTTTCTTTATGAGTTAACTAATAGGTACTTTACATTAGATAGTAGACCTGTAAAATGGTAGAAATAAAAACCAATAACTGTGCTTGGTTTTCAAACTCAACCTGATGTACCTAATAATAAATTTTAAACTTCATAAGTCGACTTGTTTAAGATATTTGAATAGGTACCTATCTACTGTCTTCGTATTTGTAATTCAGCAACTTGGAACCATTTGTTAATAATGACAAAGACAGCTATTATTTGCTTGGTTGTCATTTGGCGTGTTTAAATTTAGTAATCAATAGATATTAATATCTGTTTGTCTTGTTTTTGTGATGGGGCAGTACGTATAATAGTTTCAATACCTTAATTATTTTTCTCAGTAATGAAAGTAGGTTATTATACATAGTGTTGGGTACCTAAGTTTAGTTTTGTTTAGTTTAGTAAATATTATACTGTATTACTTTAGTACTTTACACATAATTCAAATGTTAAATATTATGATTCATGTCTTCCAAACAAGTGTACAAGTGTATTGTATTCTAGTCTCAAAGCTTACATCGGTAAACCACTTGTTGCTCCTGTCTCTCCCTTAGGCGGATAGAGAACTTACAAAAGCGCCCTCATAAGACCGTATATTATGTTTACTTTGCCGCACGACTCTCAGGTAGTTTTGTCTTCGTGTACAGTTCTATAGATACAAAGGAAAGCTTCATCACATGTTCGACAATAAGCGTGCATAGTATATTATGATCTGGAATGAATTTAATTACAGATTACATTTGTGGATATACGTTGTAAGCGTTATGTGTTTGCCATCGCATAAAATGTTGCATTGATAATTTGTTTGTATCGTAATTATCATTTCAGTCCCGTATCGCCAGATTATTTGCTTCTAGCAAGTAATAGAAAAAAAAGCTAGTGTTAATTTATGATTGTATTTTGTATATTCAAGACATTCAGTTTTTCATATAGTTTTTAGTATTATTATAATTGTAACTTGGAGATTATTAATCTAAAGATATTTTGCTGCTTATGTAAGTTTTTAAAATTAAATTCCGGCTGCTTGTAATAAGTTTTTATTGTCGCTCTCATATGTGTGACACATCTGTCATCTACAGTGGATTAGAACAGTTAGGTACCTGGTTATGCGGGACGGTGCAGTTAACAGTTGTCCATGATGGATGTTCAGATGGATAGCAGGCGCAGTATTTAAAGTCGCACACACTGGTATGTTCTGAGCGAGCTGTACAGCCAATCACTAGAAGACCAAGAAACGCGAGTACTCGCGACATAGTGCCGCGCTAGGCGCGAACGACCGCGCACTCCGCCTGTCATGCACTGACTGGTGACTGCCGCTGCCCCCAGCCCCAGCCCTGCCTCGAGAACTGCCGTGCTGCCGCTCTGAAGTATAGGGACGTGAATGTGTAATGCACTAGCCAATTATCGACATTGATGATTTCATCTAATTAGATTCATTTGCATTGTTTTTGTTAATTGCCCCCGTTAATTATATTTGCTTATTTTGTACATTTTGCATTGAATTTCTTTAAATTACTTACCATTGCATATTGCTATCAATTAGTTTAAAAAAAACTTTTACACGTGTTTTATTGGAAATTAGACCTCTTTAATTGTATGTACTAGAGACGGGACGAGTACTCGGTTTGGATTCGGTACTCGGCGGGTTCGGCCTTTTTTTAGGGTTCGGCCAAGCTAGTATTAACGGACGAGTAGCGAGTACTCGGCCTTAATTATATTCCAGAGGAAAATAGACAAAAAGACAGTTTTTATTATTATTATTATAATAGACACATTAAAACAACGTACATAAGAATCTTTAATAGAAATTATTATTACTAATGTATAAAATTTAAGCCAGGAGGATTGTGATGCAAAAACACTAGTTTTTCGGCCCTATTTGGGTCTAGTTTGTAAGGAAAATAACCGCACGCCGCCCGCTACCGCATTTTTTTAAAGCCGGGTATTCAGCAGAGTACTCGGCCAAATCTAGGCCGAGTACCCGGTGGCCGAGTACTCGGTGAATCACTACTCGTTCCATGTCTAGTATGTAATGTAATACATTGTCTATACATTTGTATCAGAGAGACACACAGATTTTGCACAAAGGTAAAAGTATATAATTATTTATTTATAATATTTTGTGGGCGTTTATAGACGGTAGAACTAATAATATTATTCAAAATTGTAGGTATAAACGTAACTGTGTAAAAAGGAAGTAGCATCAACGATGCCACATATTTGGTGTTCAATAGCTTTGCTTGACAAGCGTGTCCGTTACAACAAATACTTGCTGAATGAGAATATATTCAACTCTAGATTTTTGTAATACATTAAAAACATTTGGTCTAATATAAGGGAAGATTGAGATATTGCTTCCGGGATACAACTCACACACCACATACGAACAAGGTCGATAATTTCACTATCGACACAACGCTTCACTACGTTGCTTAATACAAAGGTCAGGCTGGCGCAGTAGCGGCCCATCAGGTTACGGATGCACTTAGACACTTCAACATCAAGCTCTTCGGCATCTGTGAGAGTCTGGGAGACACTATCAACGCGTGAAAGTTTATCGTATACCAATATTGGTCATAAAATTTTGTCGGATGACCGGTATGGGACTTTTAAAATTTCGCTATACTAGTACTTCTAGTGTGATGATGATCCTTTTTAAATAGGGTTATTGCTTATCTAATTTTTTATTATATATTGAAATATTACGGATGTAACAGTAGCCTAATATCCGATTATAGAACAATGTATAGTAATGACCGGGAAATTAAATGATGAGCTTTCTAGTTTTCCAATCAACTTTCATTGTAAAATAAAATTACATTTATAAAAAATAGTTTATTTTTCCTTTATTTTTACTATTAGGTACGTTGAATAGTTCAGTTCAGTATGATTTTTGCATTTCGCATATCGATTATAATCATATCATTAACGCGAAATGTGTGGAAAAATATTGTATACTCGTAATATGAAGCAACATAAAATTTGGGATTTTTTTTAAAACGTTAACCCCACCCTAGGAGTTTCTCCTCTATCGTGGAGGCAGTTTACAAACATAAATTGCACAAGGACTAACATATAAAACCCGGAACAATTATTTGTAGGCCTTACAAACACTTGTTCCGTGCGGAATTCGAACCCGCGGGCCCCAGCGCTGGAACTCATTGCTAAGCCACTACGCCACGGAGCCGGGCTTTGGAGTAGGGTGTTTATTATTTGTTATATTTTATTTACAATGGAGTTTCTTCATTGTAAATTAAAAAAAAATATTAACTAAAAATAAAAACTAACAAATATTAACAAAAAATATAACTCGGGTTCCCGTCACTCCCCATGTGAAACGCAGTTTGATAACATGTTATTATTTACCTTTATTGAAAAATTTTATTTAGTGTAAAGTTATCAAAGAAGTATTATTTAACAAAATTGCATTGATAAGCGTTAAGTACCTAGTATAAGAGTGACAAATGAACACTCCACCTGGTTGTAAGTGGATACTGTGGCACATAGACATCAATATCTATCCTTGATTAAAAATCAAAGTGTAGAGTCGTGTGAGGGCTATAACTAAAAGACAGTCACCTGTTCTCAACATTCACAATACAGCAGCATCAGAATGCTATTTATATTTACGTTGGTATTCTGTAAAAGCGTGGTCTATAATATATGTATAATGCTCGCCTCTGCAGCTTCGATTTACTTGTCGCTTTTGGCGATAAGTCGCAGCCGCTAGTCGCTACGACTCATCTCACATGGTACTAGAGCTTTGAAACGCTGCGCCAGTTGGGATCTGCTCTCCCTCTGCGCCTCTGGCTTTATAAAAACACTAACGGTAGTAGTGATAAGACTTCTTGGAATCGGGATTGGCCGGTTCGGCTATGTAATATGGAATGAGTAAAATGAAACTAATAAAAATTATTGTTCAATTGGAATATTCCACGCAGAGACATAAATGAACTGATTTTGATAAAAGAATACCATGTCTTAGATATAAAATTTATTTAAATTTAGAATAACCAAGTCAAATCATAGCTATTACAGATCAAAGTATACAATTCAACAAAACGCAATTTCAAATTCAAAGGTATTAAAAATTAAAAGGTTGTGACAAACCATTCTAAAGAAAGCTTATGGCTTGCAATTTATCTGGGGGCACGGCAGTGCCCCCGCCAAGTCGAGCAAAAAAGCGGCACAGCCGTACCATCCTTTTTTCGAAGCATTTCAGGCCATATTCGACCCCTTATAACTTGGTTGTGGATAAAACTAGAACCCTGAATTTTCAGTAACCAAGCAGGAATTGTATAAACACGGTATATTTCAAATTTCATTCAATTTGAACCAGTAGTTTAAGAATTATAACTAGTCAAAGTTTCTTAATTTTGTCACTCACTGACTGACCGATCATCAAAACTTTAAGGCACTTCTAGCAGACATACAAGCTTCAAATTTGGAATACAATTATCGTTTAGTATACAAATCAAGGAAAAATTAAAATATTTTGCAATATTTGTCCAGTTTTCTAGATACACCAACTGCATAACTAACTTTGTAATCCCATATAAATATATAGGATTACAAAGTTACATTTGATGTGAATAAATCACTGTACCTGTATATTTTTAATATAATAGAATAATAGGTTTAAATAACTATCAACAAAAAGAAATGAAATGACGTCAAAAACATAACTTGTAAAAAAAACCAAGTCTCACATCTCAGTTCTTCTACCGTAAAAAGTTGTGAGATCCATGTAATACCAAGTCGGTTAATTTATTCAGTCCCTACTTAAGGGTCCTTCTGTCTTAACTTATTACGTAATTAGTTAACCTATAAACATCTTACAGTGACCATATCAATGTTAAAAATCTTTTATGTTTTATATAAATAGATTGACTTGGCAATCGCATTAAAAAATGTAATTTAAAATAGTATGTATTACTTGTGAGATACATTATGCTTTCATGATCATTAGATTGTTTATTCATTTAGTCTACACTCACCATACGAAGCACAGCAACATTATTATATTGTTTCACGCTGACTCTGTGACAGCATGGCCCTACCCCGGTCGAACCGACAAATTCGTGCTCGCGTGTTAGTTAGCGTAACTTCATCGTGACTCTACCAGCTCTACCACATAAAACCTGGTATAGTAGTGCAGATAAATTGAATAACTTCAACGTCCTTGCAATGCAATGGTTGCACTATACTATGCACTGTTTTCTACTAATTATCTTTTCTGTTGCAAGAAAATTTTAATTGACAAATTTCTCTTTATTTGACATTTATCCGCAATTAGTTAACACACGTGTGCTATACACATATCATCATCATCATCATCATTACAGCCCTTCACAAGTCCACTGCTGAACATAGGCCTCCCCCAAAGAATGCCACAAAGCACGGTCCTGAGCCACCTGCATCCATCGACTTCCTGCAAATCTTACCAGGTCGTCACTCCATCTAGTGGGGGGACGCCCTACACTTCGCCTGCCGGTACGAGGCTGCCACTCGAGAACCTTTCTTCCCCATCGGTTGTCGGTTCTTCGAGCTATATGGCCGGCCCATTGCCACTTCAGCTTACTAATCCGTTGGGCTATGTCGGTCACTCTGGTTCTACTGCGGATATCCTCATTTCTGAGTTTATCACGCAGAGAAACTCCGAGCATAGCCCTCTCCATAGCTCGCTGAGCGACCTTGAGCTTCCTCATCCGGCCAGCAGTGAAGGACCACGTCTCAGTTCCGTATGTCATCACTGGCAACACGCACTGGGTGTACAGTCTCGTTTTCAAGTTTTGAGGTATACCTGACGAGAAGATGTGCCGTAATTTCCCGAACGCTGCCCAACCGAGTTGAATCCGTCGATTGACCTCTCGGTCGAAGTTGGACTTACCTAGTCGGACTATTTGTCCCAGGTAAACATACTCGTCAACAACTTCGAGCTTAGTGTTCCCAACAACTACCGGCATAGGTGTGACATGGACATTAAACATGATCTTTGTTTTGTCCATGTTCATCTTAAGACCTATCCGTTGGGAAACACTATTGAGGTCATTGAGCATAGTGCTTAGGTCCTCCAGCGATTCTGCCATAAGGACTATATCGTCGGCAAATCGAAGGTGAGTGATGTACTCGCCATTGATGTTGGTACCGTATCCTTTCCAGTCCAGAAGCTTGAAAACATCTTCCAATGCAGCGGTGAAGAGTTTCGGGGATATGACGTCACCCTGTCTTACACCTCTCTGCAATTGGATAG